TTTAAAGAAGTGATTTAAGGGCTTTAATGTTTAGATTTTTAACCACCAATATTTCATTTTTATTATTATTTCTAGATGTGACATATTCTCTAAACACATTTGTATCCTACTTTTGAAAATGAATATTTTAATAAAAAGTAATCAACCTTTCTCAATGTATTAACTTGCAGGGGAATGCATAATATGAAAAAAAAAACATATTTCAAAAGCACTTCACTGTAGGAAATAAGAGTAGCGTATATAAAAATAAATTGAGAATACGTAGGATGTCAAGTTATTGGAATTACCTGAGATGTATGGTGATTGATTGATGTGCCAAGCAGCAACATGTGTGATTACGATTTCCTGATTCATTTGATCACAGTAGCTCCCAGAGCCAAAATACACTTTGAAGCTTGAAATTGCCTACATTTAGTAGCTACCTTGATTTTGTATGATCCTGATTGTAATGTTTACAACTGCATATATTTGTGTGCACTTAAAGACAACCAAATAGAAATATATAAACACATGACCAGTAGGTGTCGGTCCAGGAAATCCCCTGCAGTCTGTTACTCATGGCAGCCACAGAACCTCAGACCTTGGGGTGTGAAAAGAGAGCTATATAGGATTTGGAATTCTGTTGCATAGTTTGATAGACAGTCTGAGGAAGCAGGGGTTCATTCTGGATTGGTTGCTGTTAAAAGAACTCTGTAACTGGGTAGTTCAATGACTCATCAGCCATAGGGAGGGTGAGGGTGAAGCTGTAATTGATAAGGAAGTCTCAATCCTCATTTTAATCAAGAGATGGAATCCTTGGTATTTTGTGGATAGTACAGTATTCTTGTTTGTGCCTATGCTTTTGGCAAAATTAGAAGGTGATTTTGCTTGGTCTTATGTTATCGCAGTCTCAGTCTTGTCTGAGGCTGCTATTCAGAGAGGTGGCTTACATCTCAGGGGAAAAGAACCTGGTCTTGCTGAGAGAGTGGGGCCAGCTCTGCACGTCAGGGACTGCTCTTGTCCCATCTCAGCTGCTTGAATCATTCTTATTCAATAACTGGCAGATTTCACAGTTCATGTGCACCTGTGTGCCACATTGCTCCCTTTGCAGCCAGTATACTTCAACCTCAGCCTGGACTGACTAGGAAAGCAGAAAGGAAACATTCTCCCCAGAAGCAGTGGGTCAGTGCTACCCGTGAGCTCTGGGATGCACAGTGGACTCATCTGGAAGCTGACCCTTTTACTTCCTGTCTCATGCTTGAGTTCCATGTTGCTTTTTCCACTGCTACCAGATGAGTTTTTGGTCCTAAGACTGCAAACCAGGATAACAACTTTTCTCCTTTAACAAATGATGATAAATGTAAATTTTTTTACTTTCATTTTGTTTGAAAGAAGCATCCTTGTTTTTAATAATGTATGAACAAACCCTTCCCTTGCCCTAAGACTAATACCTCTGTTCCAGCCATCAAGACATCCCTATAAGTCAGTTATTCCCATCTGCTCCCAGCCCTACCCAGTTCCACCCTGTTTATTTTTGGCTAGAAAATGAACAGCCATTGTTTCTGGCATTTGGAAGGTTCTCAATGAATTCCTCCTCAGCTAAGCTTGCTGTTTTCTTTTTACTTTTTGGAGATCAACCCATTAATCTCCTGATACATTATTATTATTACTGATACGAACTAGCATCACAAGTAATTTGTGGAATATTATATGACAATATGTTTGTTCTTATTGACAAATCTTGGGAATATTCCACTTGCTCTGACTGTGAGAGAAAAGAAAAATGCTTTTTCTGAGTATATGCTACGTGCTCATACAGCTTTGTCCTGGGCAAATAGATGTTTGGGAGGGAGGAAGGTTAAGCAGTCAGTGTTGGGAATTCACGCTCAACCCATGCCACGGGTGCCCCCACAGGTGATTTGATCTCTACATGCTGTGCTGTTACTCTACAGTATGACTGTCAAGATAACACCTACCCTACAAACTGCCGCAAAGTTAACGAGGCAATCCAAATCAATGACCTGGCACAGTGCTTGACACGGTTAACACCCAGTGAGAGCCACTGTTAATTTTTGAGAGAGAAAAAAAGTGAATTGCAAAATATTATCTTCCCTCTGAGCATTAGCTGGCTTCTCTGATAGCCAGCAGACAGAGGATCTTTCTGTTTGTGCTTCTCTCTGTATGTCTGCCTTTTCAATAAAATAATAAAGTAAATCTTAAAAAAAAAGGGGGGGGTACTATTTAGGCAATTCAAGATTCAGGGGCCCCATCCTGTCAACTCCTGGCATGGTCAGAGGCATAACATGGTTATAGCCTCAAGTCCTTTAGTAATCATCATAAATCCACTCATCGGCATGGCTCTTAGGGTCTAAACATCTCCCATTAGGCTCTGCCTCCCAACCTAGTTGCATCGGAAGTGAAGTTTCCCACGCATGCTTTTTAGAGGACACATTAAAACCACAGCAAGGGATCCAGGAAGCTGCACACAAGAGGTGGAAAAGTTCATTGTTCTTCAAAGGTCATGCTGACTACTGCCCCCGGGAATTCACTGTTGCATGGTTTCTCCTGTTTCCTATTCCCCTACTATTCATTCTACCACCCATGTCCATTTTAAAGAAGCACATTTTTTTTTTTAATGTGCTTGATATGTGCTCTTAAAAATGCATGGAGTGGGCTCAATGTGTTGGCTAGTGGCTAAAGTCTTTGCCTTGTACACGCTGGGATCCCATATGGGTGCCAGTTCTAATCCCGGTGACCCCGCTTCCCATCGGTCTCCCTGCCTGTGGCTTGAGAAAGCAATGGAGGACCGCCCAAAGCCTTGAGGCCCTGCACCAGCGTGGGAGACCTGGAAGAGGCTCTGGATTGGCTCAGCTCCGGCCGTTGTAGCCACTTGGGAAGAGAACCAATGGATGGAAAATCTTTTTATCTCCTCCTCTTTGTATATCTGCCTTTCCAATAAAAAAAAAAATAAATCTTTTTTTAAAAAAATGCATGGAGCCATGTGAACCACAACAGTATTTTATGCATGCTTTTCATTTAACTACATGGTACTGTGCTATTAAGCATTTCCTGTACCTGATTTTCTTTTTTCAATAAAAAGTATATGTGTGCTATATGCACATATGGTTTATTACTTCAATTCTGCTGCATGGTCCATATATAAGTATACATTGTAGCATTATTTATAACAGTTCTGAGTAGCCTAAATATTGCACACTAGGGAATGATTAAGTAACCCTGGTACATTAGCCATGTGAAATAACATGCCTTCAGGAATGACAGTTCTAGAAACCATGGGGAGCATCTTTATGGCAGGTAAAATTGTCTTTACACTGTGAAAACAACTGCATAAAATATGTATTCATATAGCCAAGGACCGGAAAGGAGAGGAGGACTATGAAAACAGTTTGTGTAACAGCAAGAACTGCAGAGCAGGCTTCTCTTCTAGCTGTTGGTCAAAGGCCATGCTGTCTCTGGGGATGGGGCCTGTATAGCAGAGCTTTTCCCACAGTACAGTCTGGGGAGAGGCGAAGACCTAACGCCTGCCCCAGAGCTGGCACGGGGCACCCTTCCCAAAGCAAAAGGGCCTCCTCTCCGCTGGGTGTGTTCTGTGGTCAAATTCAGTGACATTTATGTCCCCGCATTTGGGAATCAGGCTTGACATCAACAAGCTTTGCAGCAGACTAGGAAAGATCTACCACTGTCAAAAGTATCTGTTTACAAGCTTAAAGAAAGAAAAGCAAAGTTCATAGGAATTATGCATAGCCTTCTCTCACTTTAAAAAAAAAGTCCTAGCAAGTATCATGAACTTGTATTTGCATGTGAAGTCTCAAAGTACAAATTATCAATAACCTGTTGGAGATTTGAGTAAGAAAGAGACATTCTTTAAAATATACTTATTTTCTTTTTCATCTTAAAAACCATGTTTTCCTTTACTTTTTCAATTAACAGTTTTTTCAAAAGCTTAACCTCCCCCCACTTCACTTCATGACACTAAATTTTTAAACATTGCCTTTAAGGTGTCTTAATTTTCATATTGCAAAGAACTCTACAATACATTCATATTTTGTATGCTTTGTTGTGTACTTTTTAGGTGGTGAGGGTTAAGCTGCTCTGAGGACTGCTGGCAGGTGCAACACACACCAATCTGTTAAGAATGTCAACACAAAGCACTGACATGTCACCATGACAAAGGGGTCGGGCCTTGTCTAAGTGACTTTAGGATCTGGGTGTGACAAAGGCTGTCCTTAGGGCCTGCTCTCCTTACCCGAAGCCATGGCTTGACTTTACAAAAGTAAAGCCTTTGTCAAATGGAAAATGTTGAGAGATGTCTGCTTCTTTTATTTTTTTTAAGAATGCTATTATTGTTGTTTTCCATGATAGTTTTGTAGCTGTAGGAATTCCTCCCTTCCCTTCATTCTCCCCCCATAGTATCACAGTGGTGGATAGTCCTTTATTAAGTCTCTAGTTTATCATTTTACTGAAGTGTAACCTGCCATTGTAGGTATAGATCAAGGTACCAAATGTAGTGTCATATTGACAAGAAAGTCCTCGTTTGAAGTCCTCGTTTTATTTCACAATAGGGATGCTTACTGCAACGTATCTTCACTTCCTGGCACACTAGTCTGCATTATACAGTTCATTTAGGAGAATATGTGCTTATATATGCTCACCTATGTCTGTTTTGTATTTTGCATGATGGTTGATGTAACAAAGACAACACACGGTATCTGTCCTTCAGTGCTTCATTAATTAAACCGAAGTCCACGCAGTCTAAAATGCACACTTAGTGTGTCCTCACTTATTATTCATGCTCCTTTGCAATTCGTTAAAATAAACTGAGACCGGTCAACTTACCAGGGAGGGCCCCAGGTTACTGCCTAAGTGAGGCTGGTTTGCTCAAGTCAGTTTGAGGAGTCCCCAAACAAGCATAATTGATCACTTTGAACATTTCGGTCAGTCGCGGACTCAGCAGTTTGCTGTGCTTCCTCAGTACAGACAAAGCAGAAGTCCCCTTTTCCGGCTGAGTGGCACGGCAAGCGCCCAGCCCCGGCGGAGGAGAGCTCCCGTGGCACGGCTCGGGGGCACCTGCCCGGCCCCGCGCTCAACTCTCCCGGAAACGCCGCGGCTCGGCCCTGCCGCCTCCGGGGCCCGGCGCGCGCCTCCCGGAACAGCCTCTCCTCCCGCCATTTTCGGCGCGCGCTCAGGTGCCGAGCTGCGGCCTGCGGGTGCCGGGCCTGGGAAGACGCGCGCAGCCATGGCCGCGGGCGTGGACGGCGGGGACGCGGCGGGCGCCAGGCAGCACGTGTTCTTGATCCCAGGTAAACACGCCCCTCGCGCGGAGCGGTGGCGCGCTGGGCCCGGCCCGCGGCTGCGTGGGGGCGGGCTCGGCGGTGCGGCGCTCCCGGTGCCGCGGCCGTGCGCGCTTCCAGGCCGCCCCGCGCGCTTCCAGGCCGCCCCGCGCACTGCCCCGGGCCCGAGACCGGCTTCCTGCCGAGCTGCCCGGCTCTGCATCACGGCTCCACGCGGCCTATGGCGGGCCAGGCGCGGTGTGCAGACCCGGAAGAAGCGCAGAGAGGGAGCGAGCGCCCTTCTGCAGCTTCAGGGCCCTGTGGGTGCTGGGTCTCAGGTGTTCGGTGTCCGCCCTGGGGTTAACTCTGAATCGCTCCACCAGGCAGCCCGCCCAGCCTCTGGGATCCATTAGGTGCATCAGGGATCCAAGGTGGCCTAGCCTGACTTTGGAGACTGCGTCCTGGGACCGGCTTGGGGTGGCCAGGCAGGAGGGCAGCTGGAGGCTCAGCTTAGCTAGGAGTGCTCCAGAGTTACTTCTGGTTGGCCAGAGCTAGGCCTTACCTCCTGCCTGCTGGGGCTTGGGGATGGTGAGCAGCCAGGACCACAAAAGAAGGGGTCACCGGAGGGGCCGGATGGGAATGGGGGAATCTAGAGCGACAAGGTTTGACCCTCTTAGGGAGGGTCCTTTTGAGGGTGCAGCAGTGGGAAGAACAACCCCATGCGCATTGTGTTTGTTTAATCTGAGATACTGGGGGTCGGGTGCTTTTGCAGCCACCTCACTGTGACTGGTATTCCTGTATCATAGGAACCTGATAGGTCTTGGAAATGGCTCTGTCTGTAGAGTGTGTCGTTTGCTTGAGTCTTTAACTCTCCCTCCTCTATGTAAAGGGTATGAATTTTGAATGTGAGGTTCCCCAGTGATCCAGAACTTTCTGAGCTGTGGTTGTGCCTGCTTGGTTCAAAGTGTACCTGTCTGTACCTGGCCTTGGCTGGTAGCAGTGGTTGGGTTGGGTGGCTGGTTGGGGTTTCCCCGCTGCTTTTGCTCTGTCATGTGGATATCCGTAATGTGGATCTCCACTGCTGGGGGTGAGCCCTTGGATGAGTTCCATAGATAACTGCTGTGCAATAGACTTGGTAGAACACGGTTTTCTGAGGTTTCTGGCAGACACAGGCACTCATTTCTCTGTTTCCTAAAGTGAGATGGCTGAGTCTGGGTGCTTCTATGCTGTTGTGTAATAGCCAGGTGGGTTTTCACCAGCAGTGTAGGACCCGGACAGGTTGGTGGGAAGATGGAATGGGAATGGTAGGGCGGTTTCCATGGTGAAATGCCTAATGCACAGTTCAGGTTTGGGCAGAGTTTAGCAAAAGGCTTTGCCTCCTCAACGTTCTCTCTTCCGGCTTTGGTCACCCCAGTACAGTGACATTAGCAGAATGTGGAAAAACTAGCCAATCTGTGAGAATCAAGTATTGCTGTTATCATTCAGATATCCACAACAGCTGCTGTTTGTTCAGTTTCTTGTTCTGATCTCCATTAAAGTGTCCTCACTGTGATCAGCACAAAAAAACTCAAAAGAATGAAGCATTCATTGGGTCCCTGAGTGTAATAGATTTTGTGTATCAACTGCTGGGGTGTGACCTTTAAAAATACTGTGTGTAGAGAGGGTGGTGGCTCTCAGGCTGTGAAAGAGCTGATGGAATGGTTGCTGCCCGCCTCTGGCAGAGCACGCTTTGCAATCCTGCAAACTGGAGCCTCTGTCCTTGTAATTCTTAAGCCGGCCTGTACCGCCACCTACAGGCTGTGAGGGTGCAGGCGGAGGTTGGTGGCTATAGAAGCCCTGCTGTGATTCTCCCAGTTAGGGTGGATTACTGGGGCCACTGAGCCCCTTCCAGGAGATCCTGAGCAGGGACCTGGGAGTGTGCATTCCTGATGAGATCCCAGCAGTTGTCACTGCTGCTGTTGGTTTGGGCACTGTCCCCGGGAACCCCACTGGAGTGCGGATCAGCTCTGGGGAGCTAGTGTGGGATGAGGACATGGCCAAACACAGGTTTAGCTCTGCATGTACTGGGTCAGAACTTCCAGGATCAGAGTCCAAGGCCCATTGTCACAGATGTATTGTTGTTTCTGCAGAGGGGAAGTCAGCCCACATAGTGAGGCATGCATTGGCTGGAGCCTGGCTGCCCTGGACCAAGAGAACACCATGCCTATGGTGAAGTTAGGCCCTTCATAAACAAGAACAGTTTCCTTAAAGCTTTGAAAACATGCAAGGGTACTTTGTAAGTTTGTGGGGATATGAAATTAAAAGGTAAGTTTTGTTTGGTATAAACGTTTTTTAGAATCCATGCATTTTCACATAATACTTTGCAATAAACTTGTTTAGTACCATGAACTTGTTGAAGTCCCTCTTGTGTGGTGGCAGCAGCCTGTACTCAGTTTTAGAAAATTGCTGGGTCTGAAGAACTCTCCCTGGGTCCTGGAAAGTGAGTACATTGGCCAACAGAGCAGCAGAACTTTAAAGGGATTTATCCAGGAAACAAATGCAGAGCACTAAGTTAAGCTGCTGCCTGTGTCCCCGGCATCCCACATGAGTGCCAGTTCTAGTCCAGGCTGCTCCTCTTTGCTCCAGCTCCCCCATATAATGCTTGCAAAAGGAGCAGAGGATGGCTCAAGTGCTCTGGTCCCTGCCATCTAGGTGCAAGGCCCTAGGTAGAATTCTTGGGTCTTTGTTTCAACTTGGTCCAGCCCCAGCCATTGCGCCCGTTTGGGTTGTGAACTTGTAGATAGAAGATCTCTCTCACTCTGACTTTCAAATAAGTAAATAAATCTTAAAGTGTATTTTCAGAAAGGTTGTATTTGTTATGTATTTCCCCAGAGGTAGCATCAGTACTGGCCGGTTGCTGGGAGGCAGACTGTGCCTTGCTCCCCAAGGCGGGTAAGAAGCCCTAGTGCTGCCTGCCTTAGCCAGTTGGGATGCTCATTGAAGGCACCTTCAGATGGGGCATCCCCAATGATCATGCTGGTTCTGGGCAGGATTGTCTTTCCCAGTGGAGTAAAAAAGCTTTAGGCTTTTTTATTGCTGTCTTGCAGTTAGTTCTGCATTTTTCTCCCACTGTTTTCTTCAAAAACTCTTAAAAATTGGGCCCGGCGCAATGGCCTAGCAACCAAAGTCCTTGTGTTGAGTATGCCGGGATCCCATATGGGTGCCAGTTCTAATCCTGGCCAGCCTCACCTCCCATCCAGCTCCCTGCTTGTGGCCTGGGAAAACAGTCGAGGACAACCCAAAGCCTTGGGACCCTGCACCCGTGTGGGAGACCTGGAGACAGATTCTGCCTTCTGGATTCGGTTCAGCTCAGCTCCAGGTGTTGCAGTCATTTGGGGAGTAAATCAGTGGATGGAAAAATCTTCCTCTCTGTCTCTCCTCTTCTCTGTCTGCCTTTGCAATAAAAATAAATACATCTTTTTAAAAAATTAAAATAGTCATACCTATCTTGGATAGAAACTTCAGTGATAACAAAAAGAAGGAAAAAAAATACTTGCCCATCATGCTGCCATTCAGAAAGAACAATTTTTGAGATAGTTCCTTTCAGTCTTTGTGTTGTATGTGTCACAAAATTAATTCTGTGTTGTCAGATATTTCCATTTCTGCTTTTATTTCACTATGTATTTATGACTTAACAGTGATGCCAAACACTCAGTAGTATGTGTTACTGTTTATTTCTACATCGGATCTGACAGTTACATTGATTTGTTAAAGAGCAAGTGGGTTAGATTCTGATCTGAACAAAGTTGACAAAATCTATGGGTCACATTTCAGGTATTGATGAGCCTTGTACAGTTACAGTACAACTTTACTAAGTAAGGGTTGCTTTGCATGATGGGCAGCGCATATTTAAAATGGGTTCTCTTTTAAAGGGGGATAAAGATCGAACATACAGAAAGGTCCAGCCGAGGTGAAGATGAACTCAAAGAGCCACAATGGCACGTCAGCAAAGCAGGATGCTGTGAAAGCCGCTCAAGGCAGAGTGAGCTTGGGAGGGTAACCGTAGCCTCCTGCAACTCCCTGATATTCTGGCCTTAAACAGAACACCAGTTTGAATGCCCCCACATCTGCCTTGGAGTTTTAAGCTATAGAGTCAGTGCATCCGAGTTGTGTGTTGTAAGACCTGCTGCAGCCCTTTCAAGGCGTTTTTGGAACAGGTTCATACAGCCGGCCTTGTGATGGGGACGGGTGGTGGCACGGTGGTTTCAAGGAACCAAGGGCGTTGGAGCAACAGTAAGTCCCAGGTTTGTACTTCCCTCAGTGCTAACGTCCTTTCCTCCAACTGCTTCCTCCTTGGTGAAAAACAGACTGGGTGCTGGACTCCACATCCACTCTTTGGAGTCTGCCAGGCAGGCCTCATCTTCTGAGCTCCAGTCTGAAACTCTTCAAAATGGCCTGACAACCCCGTCTGTGCTGCTAGTGCTGACCCTCTGGGGAAAGGAAGGCACCTGGTCTCGGGCAACACTAACAATCCTGGAAGGTGCTGGTACCTTGAAAAGGAGAATTTCATGGTAGCTGAGCAGGAAGGAACCAGAGGCCTGGCCGTATTCTAATATCCAAAATGTGGAGCAAGTGAACCTGGCCATTTGTGAAGGCAGTACTGTGTGAGCACCAGGGTGGTCTCTTCATCTTTTGTGGTTCTTCCACCTGATCTTCCTAAGAAACCTGGGCAGCCTTGGTGGTGGTGCTTTGGCGTCTGTACTTCCTTCTACACCTGCAAGAGAATGTGCGTTTTTCCAGTGCTCATCTCTCACATGCCAAGAAGCAAACAGGGCCCCAGCACGCGTCCAGAGCGTCCAAGTCATGAGAACACTTGGCACCAAGGTGGTGTGCTCTTGCGTTCATCTTATGTCTGTGAGTTTTAAATGAGAAGTTTGTTTTAACCAACAGAAGGGGATAGGAAAGCGTGGCCAAATTTTAAAAAGCCAGTTGAAAAATAACTTCATCAGCTGTACAACTACAGAGTCGGTGCATGAAAACAAATAGACCAT